TTACGGTGCTTTAATTTTTATACTATTATCTTGCAATTTTGACGTTTTTGGTCGACTGCGTTAAAAATGCGACGTTAGGTGTGATGACAGACGTAATTGTGTGGTTCGCTAGTGCTGTGGCTTCTGACTGACAGTAATTCAACTCAGTCTTTCAACTGTCTTGCCGTCTTGAAGAGATTTAAACTAGATGTATCAGTTGCCTTGATTCCTTAGATTCGGCTTCCATGTGCTCAAGTAGGCTGACATCCCAGAGAATCAACACAAGTCCTTCCTGCTTGGCTCTGTGTCCAGACTATGTACCGCCACACAGGTATCCTTCCACGGAGCGGTCTGGATCCACATTAGGCCAATTAGGGCGCAAAGATTTTTCTCGTAGACAGAACCGACAGTTTCACTGGTCAGCAGACATGGAGAGGATGAGACTGGTATTAGTATCCAAGTTCCAGTGCCAGCAATGCTGACTGGCTGGCACTAGGATGTTAACAGCATGCCCCATGACGGTTGTCTTACACGAAAATAATCTCAATACTAACTTGTCCATCAACCTGCAACTCTCTTAACTGTTGACAATACTCCTGTGAGTGAACCCCCTGTTTCTACTGACTCATCTTAAGTCTGCTTTAAAACTGGGTTGATTGTTTTTACGTTCTTCGGGAACGATTGCTTTCGTTCTTCGGGATTGGGTAAATCACGTCACGTGGCTCACAAGACGCAAACTACGTCTAGGCGCTATTATATCTTTTCTTTTTTTCCTTAAACATTTCAGACTTGCAAGAATAACCATTTAATAACACCTAACCACATAAATTATCACAGCTGCCAGATATGTTTGTATCTGTGTCTTTCTCTTGTAAGGTCACCAAAGGGTTACAATGAGTGTGGTATCGTAAGACTATAAACATAAACAGTTGAAATCTGTATTCTAGAAAATAAGAATCAGTAGTGAGTATTTTCTTGAAGAATATTGTTTATTTGATCTTGCATTAAGCTTTTGAAAAGCCCAAATTCCTTTACGTTAAGTACATTAAGTAGGACTTAGGACACTGGAAAGTCTTATCTCCCTAGAAAAGACGAATAAATATTCTTTCACACGCACACGTATTCTTAGCTACGTGTAGTTACAAGAGTGAAATATCTAAGGATGAATGTTCCTGATGGTTGATATTGTGTAAATATGTTAATGCTTTTGTTGGTTTGTGAGAAATATTCTGTAATATTATAAGGTGTATCAAGAGAGAACATTCTGACAATGAAATGTTTCAATGAAGAGAAGTTTTTAATTATATATTTATTTTCGTCATATTTATTTACATTGCTTTACAATCGGTACATAATTTTTGCTGACGAAGGTGATAATTAAACTAAGTTTGACAGTAGGGTTCAGTAGTAACGTGTCGGGGGAGCCGCTGCTGCTGCCTGCCTCTGGTAGGTGTTGAAGAACGCATTCTTGGCGGCGGCCACCTCGGGGGTGTCAGCAACCTGGTTGGTGGAGCCTGGGAGCCCAGCTGGGACGGTGGCAGCCAAGGGGCCAGTCCACTTGGGCTGGTGGGTGTAGGAGGGGGTGTAGGAGGGAGTGTGTGAGGGAGAAGCCCGATAGTGAGGGCTGGTGCCAGCACCAAGAGTAGCAGCAACCTGAGCCTGGTAGGTGTTGAAGAAAGCGTTGCGGGCAGCAGCTACTTCATTGGTGTCAGACACGGGAGTAAGTCTGCCATCGACGCCGGCAGGAACGGTGGCAGCTACTGGGCCGGTCCACTTGGGTTGGTAGGAGCCGTGGTGGTATTGTCCTTGGTTGTATTGCCCATGATTGTATTTACCGGTGTTATAGGACTGTTGGGGGATGGGATTGTACTTCGGCTTGGCGGCGGCCTCAACAGCTCGGAAAGTTGCGAAGAAGCGAGCTTTCTCTGCCGCCACGTCTGGCGCGTCTCCTATTTGCGCGAAGACCGAAGACACGCCCAACACTGCCAAAACAACCTGCAAAGAGAAAATATACATAATGTACATTAATTGCAAAAAACTAGTTAATCATTGAGTAACACGTAATATATTTTCCCCCGTCATTCCTTCACTAGTGAATCCTGATATGATTGTTAGCCGGAATGGTAAACTTTTATAATATATTATAATAAAAAATCAAGAAATTTGTGTCCATGTCTCGGGAAAAAGTAAGACAATGGAAGAGAAACTGAGTAACGATACTTGCAGCTTTCCGATGTTTGATTACACTGTTTACACTATTCACTTTTTAATTGAACCTTTCATTCAGTTTTTCCTAGAGAATGTTATTATTACAACGTACAAAAGTTTATTCACAAATGTTTTAAGAATTTATCTTCACGTACTTTGACTTCTTTTATAAAGTGTTTGTTCATGTTCAGATTAATATGATCTTGAAGCACCCCAGAGCACCACAAACAGTTCATTACTGATTCGTGCATAACATAGATAAAAACTATTAAAATTGTTCTTTATATGTTCTATCACTGAAGAGCTCGATGAGAGGCTTATTTGTTGGGAACCACAACAGAGTTATTGGCACCTCCTTCAGTCCTAAGGCACTCGCAGAGGTTTGTGTTAGTAAACAAGGCGGCACTAGGAGATAGTTACCAGGGTCCTCATGATGCTTGAGTGTGTGTGTATGAGGGGGCGAACCTTACTGTGCTCTTTCTTAGTCTGTTGGCAGCTTATATACCTGCGAGATGATCAAGGATAACAGGTGTGCTTGACTATGCAGCTTGTGTGTGTGTGTGTGTGTGTGTGTGTGTGTGTGTGTGTGTGTGTATGTGTGTGTATGCATGCACATGTTTCTTCCTCCTATAATGACAAACCTGCTTGCAATGTCGTTTAGTTTTGCTTGGCAACACCGTTTGTCCAAAACTCGTCTTCTGACAAAAAACATTGACGTTAAACTAAGCTCTTTTCTAGCTTGCAGTTTACCTTTCCTTATTTTTAGTCATTTAACTCCATAGTGTATGGAGCTCAACATGCCATTGCTACTAGGCTTAACTGGGGCGCATTTTCGTAAAATGATTAAATTTCATACAGACTTTTTGCTGTGAACTTGTACCCCCCTAATGAGTCAAGATTTACTGGAGTTCTGCACATGAATCAGTCAATGTTGCTTGTGGCTCAACGAAAATGCACTACTTGATCAACAATATATGTACTTAAACGACTTTTTGTAAGTGATTACATCACTCGTGAGAAAGCAGCTGCAGGAACTCCCAAGCTATACATCATTAAGAACTCTAATTGACCAGGCCAGGATTCGAACCCATGCCGTCCAGGATCACTCCCTAAACCAACACACTACAGTGATCCCCGCACCAATGATCGTCTATAAGGATTGGTCAGTCCTGTTGCTTATTAACTAAGCTCCACGACTGATCAACCCCCGACGACACTCATGGATTCATTCGGGTACATTTTTTTTCATCAAATTCTGGTACGTACACGGGCCGCGCTGTGCTTTTTAAATGTGAGAAAGCTGCAGGAACACGCAAGCAATAGATCACTAAGAACTGTAATTGACCCGGCCAGGATTCGAACCCATGCCATTCAGGATCATTCCTAAACGTTCACAGTATCGTGACCACCGCATCAATGATAAACGGTACTATGTACGTTACTCTCATGATGATGAACGGTACTGTGTACGTTACTGTGTACTCTCTCTCTGCCTGCCCACAATCGACAGCTTTCAGCCGGTCCTCACACACACCTTATAACTCGAGACTCCATGAAAAAGGTTTTGTTTTTGCGTAACCAGAAGTGTTCGAACACAAGCAACCCAGCTGACTTAATGACGCCGATGATCAGAAAACATCAGTATTACGGTGCTTTTATTTTATACTATTATCTTGCAATTTTGACGTTTTTGCTCGACTGCGTTAAAAATGCGACGTTAGGTGTGATGACAGACGTACTTGTGTGGTTCGTTGGGTCGCTTATGCGGTGGCTTCTGACTGACAGTAATTCAACCCAGTCTTGCAACACAAGTCCTTTCTGCTTGGCTCTGTGTCCAGACTATGTACCGCTACACAGGTATCCTTCCACTTAGCGGTCTGGATCCACATGAGGCCAATTAGAGCGCAAAGATTTGTCACATAGAACCGACAGTTTCACTGGTCAGCAGACATGGAGAGGATGAGAGTGGTATGTGCCAGTGCCAGCAATGCTGACTGGCGAGCACTAGGATGTTGACAGCATGCCCCATGACGTCTGTCTTACACGAAAATAATCTCAATACTAACATGTCTATCAACCTGCTTCTCTCTTAACTGTTGACAATACTCTTGTGAGTGAACCCCTGTTTCCATTGACTCATCTTAAGTCTACTTTAAAACATGGTTGATTGCTTTTACGTTCTTCGGGAAATTATCGGATTCGCCATGAGCCATTCATTTACTTCCTCTGATTGGGTAAATCCCGTCACGTGGCTCACAAGACGGAAACTACGTCAAGGTGCTGCTGTGTGTTTTATGTTTTCCTTAAACATTTCAGGCTTGCAAGAATAACCATTTAATAACACCGAACCACATGAATTATCACAGATGCCAGATATGTTGGTATCTGTGTCTTTTTCTTGTAAGGTCACCAAAGGGTTATAATGAGTGTGGTATCGTAAGACTATAAACATAAACACTTGAAATCTGTATTCTTCAAAACAAGAATCAGTAGTGAGTATTTTCTTGAAGAATATTGTTTATATGATCTTGCATTAAGCTTTTGAATAGCCCAAATTCCTTTACGTTAAGTACATTAAGTATGACTTAAGACACTGGAGAGTCTTATCTCCCTAAAAAAGATGAATAAATATTCTTTCACACGCACACGTATTCTTAGCTACGTGTAGTTACAAGAGAAAAATATCTAAGGATTAATGTTCCTGATGGTTGATATTCTGTGAATATGTTAATGCTTTTGTTGGTTTGTGAGAAATATTCTGTAATATTATAAGTTATATCAAGAGAGAACATCCTGACAATGAAATGTTCCAATGAAGAGAAGTTTTTAATTATATATTTATTTTCGTCATATTTCTTTACATTGCTTTACAATCGGTACATAATTTTGCTGGCGAAGGTGATAATTAAACTAAGTTTGACAGTAGGGTTCAGTAGTAGCGTGTTGGGGGAGCCGCTGCTGCTGCCTGCCTCTGGTAGGTGTTGAAGAACGCATTCTTGGCGGCGGCCACCTCGGGGGTGTCAGCAACCTGGTTGGTGGAGCCTGGGAGCCCAGCTGGGACGGTGGCAGCCAAGGGGCCAGTCCACTTGGGCTGGTGGGTGTAGGAGGGGGTGTAGGAGGGAGTGTGTGAGGGAGAAGCCCGATAGTGAGGGCTGGTGCCAGCACCAAGAGTAGCAGCAACCTGAGCCTGGTAGGTGTTGAAGAAAGCGTTGCGGGCAGCAGCTACTTCATTGGTGTCAGACACGGGAGTAAGTCTGCCATCGACGCCGGCAGGAACGGTGGCAGCTACTGGGCCGGTCCACTTGGGTTGGTAGGAGCCGTGGTGGTATTGTCCTTGGTTGTATTGTCCATGATTGTATTTACCGGAGTTATAGGACTGTTGGGGGATGGGATTGTACCTCGGCTTGGCGGCGGCCTCAACAGCTCGGAAAGTTGCGAAGAAACGAGCTTTCTCTGCCGCCACGTCTGGCGCGTCTCCTATTTGCGCGAAGACCGAAGACACGCCCAACACTGCCAAAACAACCTGGCCAAGAGGAACATATATATTGCTTATTAAATAAATAAATACTGGTTAGTCATTCAATGTGCAACATTTCCATAGACAATTTAGATGGAAGCGATAACTGATACACAGAAAAATATAAGCTATCGACAGATATCATAATTAAAAAAAAAATGATTGAGAGAGTTATGCACTTTTCATCAGATGAAATGAAATGTTTGAGGATATTCGGGGTCATAAAACAGGAAATTAAGGACAATCCGAACAGCAACACAAGCAACTGTACGATGATAGATTCATATTTTAACACTTATTTTTTCACTTTTTATTAATTCAAGTTTCAGTTCAATATATATATATATATATATATATATATATATATATATATATATATATATATATATATATATATATATATATATATATATATATATATATATATGTTTAAACATTTTCACCAACACGTGCTCAGCGTATATAAAATATTTCTCCATTTTCAACATATTTGCTGTATCCAAAATCAAATTGTCCTTAAAACTCCAAAATTTGAATTGAGGAAATAGTTTTCAAAGAAGATTTTTAGCAGATTAAAAAAAATATATATAAAAAATTTGGTTTAGAAGTATTCTGAAATTTTCTGATTATGCACATTGTGGATCTCGATGACATAAAACTTTGGTGGCCACTATGTATATGATTACTGCGTCACTTCAGTCTTATCGTAGGAGGTATATATATATTTCCTTCAGAACCAGGCAGGAGGTAGAAACACTTACCAGGGTCCTCATGGTGTTTGCTCGTGTGAGTAGAGGGGGGAACCGTACTGTGCTCCCTGTGAATGCTTGGGCCTCTTATATACCCCTCACACGATCAAGGCAAACACGTGGAGCCTTAATTGTGTGTGTGTGTGTGTGTGTGTTTGCTTGCATGCTACCTTGTGTCTGCTTGCTTGGGCAGTACGTTTTTGTCATGACATACCTGCTCCCAGCGTCGTCTTTTTCGAGTGACAACATTTCTGCTTCCAGGCAACCAAACATGGGATTTGAGGTAAATAGATTCCTCTGATGTGTCCATTATCTTCGCCTAACTTCGGTAGTTTAGAGCAGGAAAGTGGCAACCCGCTCCCACGGTGCTTAATAAGCTTCAGATTCACATCTTCTCCCACGTTTTTATTCTCCTGTAAATGTTGGCTGTCGGCTGCAGGCTGCACACACACACACACCCAACTCAAGTGTACCGTTCAGTAATCCAGTTCAGAGTTTCTGATCCAGGAGTGCATGGAACCTCAGTAGGGAGTGCATGGAGCCTCAGTAGGGAGTGCATGGAGCCTCACTAGGGAGTGTATGGAGCCTCACTAGGGATCACACTAACGTGATACATCAAATGAACTCAGTCGATTAAGGCAGTGTCTGGGATGCTCCCAGACGTAGGTTCGAATCCTCGTCACGGCCCTTGTGGATTTGTTCATTTGCTCACTAGGGAGTGTATGGAGCTTCTCCGGGGGTACATGGAGTCTCTCCAAGAGGTGCATGGAGCCTCTTCAAGAGGTGCATGGAGTCTTTCTAAGAGATGCATGGAACCTCTCCAAGAGGTGAATGGAGCCTCTTAAGTGGAGCCTGAAAGGTCACTAAGTAATGCCTCTACAGGATGCTGCATCTCACCTGCTCCGGGAAGCAGACTTAGATTAACGATAATTATTTATTCAATTATTATTTTATTCATTGCATAAAATCGCTCGGTAATGAACTTGGTGTAAACAAAAACTGGAAATTATCCAAGCAATAATTGGCAATATGCTAATAGGGGACCGAGTTTAGACATTCGTTATAATCTTATACGGTAATATTATTTACACATCTTTCAGATCATTTTGTAAATATATGCATCGAAGTGGAAATTTTTATTTTGGTTCATTTTTGTACTGAGAATTTTACAAATATTTTTTTTAAGTTTATCCATTAATATATTTTATTTATTTATATGTTAATAATATTCTTGTTGTGGTAATATCCTGGCCGGGATAATGCTGGGATGGTGTGGGATACCTCGGTCAACATGATATCAGAATGCCCCGACTGGGATGATTTGGGGTTGTCCCTGACCAGGATGATATTGGGACGCCTTGGCCGGCATGAAGATTGGGATGCTGTTTTAGCCGGGATAATGCTTGGGTGATCTGACCGGGATATGATGTTGGGATTCCCCGTTTTGGGATTATGTACGCAGAATGCCCTGGTTAGGAATGGTGCTGGGAGAGTGAACGTTTGTGAGATATTAGGGAGTGTTGTACACGTGTGTTTGATGACAATATGGAGTCCTGTCAAATACATTTCTCCCTGAACTGCACTCTTGCACTGTTTCTGTCCGCCAGTTCTCATCTGCGTTGTTCAGTCCTATATGTTCGTTCTGCGCTGTTCAGGTCTCTTTAAAAACTATTTACAATTACAATGTAAAAACAAATACAATTATTTAAAAACACTCTTTTAAAAAAGTATATCACAGTTATATCAATGAAAGTAGAAGGGAGCACAGGGGTCAGGTTAGGGGTGAGAGAGAACTGAAGATCTTCGGATGACTAGTAGAAACATTTTTGTAAAAGGGCGTGAGTACAAATGGAAGGGGTGTTAGGACAAAATGTTTATGCGTAACCATATTGGCATATTGCGGCATTGTCTGGAATGTGCCAAATTGGTTCTGTCTTTGGTTCAATACATGCGTATTTCCTTAGGCATACGCATAATCAACCTGTTCTCGCAAATTCGTAAAGTCAATATTGACTTATTAACTACGTGCATAGGTGATATACTAAACATAATAGATACCCTTAAAAAGATTCATAGAAAACACCGACCTTACCTAACCTTGTTAGTATCTTAAGATAAGCATCTTATTGCTTCGTAATTACAATTATTACTTAACCTATACCTATTATAGGTTAGGTAATAATTGTAATTACGAAGCAATAAGATGCTTATCTTAAGATACTAACAAGGTTAGGTAAGGTCGGTGTTTTCTATGAATCTTTTTAAGGGTATCTATTATGTTAAGTATGTCACCTATGCACATATTTAATAAGTCAATATTGACTTATTAAATTTGCGAGAACGGGTTGGCATAATATCTGCACTTCGTTTCATTTGTTTTTTTCTTTGTTTTTTTTGCTGGTGTGTATTCCGTTCGTGCATTTGCAATCTCTTCCTTTCTAGCCATCTATGTTTTCTGGCATGATTTCGGTTTATCTCCACTACCTCTGTTGCCACTGAGGACAAATTAATAGTTATTAATTATTAATAATATCTATACAATATTTTCATAATATTCCCCGTATTCCCAAACCATTTTCTAAAACAGGTAAGAATAATCAATTAATTTTTAATAAAAATGAATTATTAATTAATAGACATTATTAATAGTATCGTTTGGCCCTCCGTATTGTGATTATTATTGTGTATTTCAACACTGGTCTTTCACGCTATTGTTGTTGGTCTCTGAAGGTATCAGTTCCTACAGCTCGTTTTCTGTCCAACATTACTTTTCCACATTATGTGATATATCTGGTGATTTCATATGTAAAGGATTCTCTGTGTGCATCAGGGATTCCTCACAGCAGTGTGGCTAGGTTTCCCTCCCATAGCTCATGAAAGGCCTTACCCACTTTATCTAAAACACGTCCCGCCAATCACTTTACAACCAGGGGCCCAATAACGGCTGGGTGGAAAAAAGTAGAACAATTAAGGATTGGCGCCCAGTCAATCTTCCCTGGCCAGGAGTCGAACCTCGAGCAAAACGCTTGAAAGGTGTCCTTGACTGTGTAGTATGTACATATCTACATTTCTCGTCTTAGTTCAAGTTTTGCAGCTTAATCTGCAATGTCATTCCCTAGTATTCCTACATGACTTGGCACCCAGCTGATATATATTCAATGAAATACTCTGTTGAACGGTCCTCTGTGGTCAGTCACTTGGTGGGTATTGTTTATAGTAGTAAAATAGTAGTCATACAGGCTGTACGACTATTATTTTCTTATTTCCTAGAAAAAGGGACCCACAGACCCTTACAAGTCCCCTTCCTCCCCCAAACACACACACTCCATATCTCCCCCACACATAACATCTCCATTTTCGCCCACACAAAGTCATCCCAAGTCCCTCTATCACTGTAACCATTTTCACTACTCACTGCCAACACCACTGTAATCAAAAGATTGTGCCCAAAACTCCAAATTGTCATCGAAACATTCGTTTTGCTTGTCAATATTTGAATACACTAATATTTAAACTATTGCTAAACTCTACGGATATTTGGATGCGCATTTCATTTCCAGCGACTTCGTGAAGGGGGTTATAGAGGCCGAGTCATCTTCAGTGGTGGCATAGGGACAGACCCCAAACCACCCTATGAGACTCTCCATCAAATCAACAATCACGATTGAAAGTTGTGCGAGGTAGCCTCAAGCATCTTTCTTGCTACCTAGAGTAGATATGTTGACCAGACCACACACTAGAAATTGAAGGGACGACGACGTTTCGGTCCGTCCTGGACCATTCTCAAGTCGATTGAGAGTAGATAAGCTGATATTCTCTTTATAGATAGATGGGGTACCCAGTGGTGCCCGGGGTCTCTGCCTCTCTCTGTTTCGCTCTCTCCTTCATTCCTTCTCATGTTTCTCTCTCTCCCTCCCTTCCACCCTGCCTCCAATTCTTTCTCTCCCTTTATCGTTTCCGTTCTATCCCAGTGTGCTAAGCACGTTCGAGTAATGTTGAATCAACGACGATATCAGCAGTATAATATGGTTAAACACTCGGCGGATAATCAAACCAATAACTCAGACTTCATAGGAATCTTTGGTTGTCGCAATTGGAGTCACTCCTACTTAAAGGGGACATGCGGTCCACTAGTTATATTATCGTAATTCAACATGGAAAGTGGCGTGGGGCTTACCGCAACTGTCTGACCTCCAATCTCGAACAAAGAGACAGACAGATATACTCATATATATATATATATATATATATATATATATATATATATATATATATATATATATATATATATATATATATATATATATATATATATATATATATATATGATATATATATATATATATATATATATATATATATATATATATATATATATATATATATATATATATGATATATGATATATATATATATATATATATATATATATATATATATATATATATATATATATATATATATATATATATATATATATACAGATTGTGTTAGCTATTTGATACAAAAATTTATTATTCTTACCTGTTTTAGAAACTGGTTTGGGAATACGGGGAATATTATGAAAATATTGTATAAATATTATTATTATACTCGTCAATTTTCCCTTTTTGTTTACCAGTTTGTCATTTTCTTAAATATTATCAGAACGATAGCTTCATCTCGGAGTAATTAATATGGGTGACAGTTTCTTACTTGGGTAATGACTACTTGAACGGTCCTTGGCTCGTAAATAAGTGATTGGACCATTAACTAGAATGATCCTTAAAGAGCGAGATGGCAAAACTGAGAGTAACGCTCTTTTATATATATATATAGTTCAACAACCCAATGCACACATATGACATATGAAAGTGATTTGTTGATCAGACCACACACTAGAAGGTGAAGGGACGACGACGACGACGACGTTTCGGCTCGTCCTGGACCATTCTCAAGTCGATTGTGCCTCATCGGACCGAAACGTCGTCGTCGGCCCTTCACCTTCTAGTGTGTGGTCTGGTCAACATACTTTAGCCACGTTATTGTGACTCATCGCCTGCGTATGAAAGTGATATTGCGGTGCATCTTCGACCCTTTGTGTGAGGGGGGGGGGGAG